CTTATTTTAAATGACATATAATTTTAATAATTTATCTATGTAATAAATTCATACACAACATGTGGTGATTCGTCTAGTTTAACATAAAAATGGTTTTTAGAAAATCGATTTGTGAAATTAACCTAATTAATCACACACACACATATATATATATATATATATATATATATATATATATATATATATATATATATAATTTATTAGGTTACAACCAGTGAAAACCACTGATAAAAAATTTATAAAATTTATTAAATTAATAAATTTTAAGTTATTTTGTTGAAACTTTTGTATTGATTATTTAAAACAAATATATAGTTTTATTTGAATATATACCATATATGTTCAAAAAATATATTTTTATTTAAAAAATCTTTTAATTAGATCATATAATATAGCTTTTTTTAATTAATATAAGAAAACTCATCATTCAAACTATGTGACATATGTAATTTCACTTAATCTAACTCTTGGATGCATCTTATATGCATACAGAGATCCACACACTTAGTAAAGATAAATGTAAATCAAAATAAATATTATTCTTTGAAAACAAATACACAAATGATAGACTTGGTAAAGATAAATGGAATGCAAAATAATTCTATAATCCTATGATTTTAAGATATATAAAATTGTCACGCCTTTTAAAAACGTCATGGTTCATCAAGGTTCGTCATGACTTAGGCTTGATCTTGCCACATCTCAATTTGTTTAGAATCTTGATAATTAGGCAATGTATTCACTCAAATGTGAACGGATGTGCTACATTCATTCTATTGGAGTAATTGTTAGTTTAGGAAATTCATATATCCATATATTATTTACTAATAAAAAATATATAAAGGGTGGTTGGTTTATTAAAAAATAAACTTTAACAACCTAATGCTCTTGTTAGTTTATTAACCCTTTTTATCTAACAACTTTAAGCATGTCCATAAATGCTTGTGGTGCACCAGTGTTCCCACTACTATATAATCAAGTCTAACTCATAATTGTCATGACATAGTAGCTGTTCAAAAAAAAAAAAAAATTGTCATGCCATAGTTCGCTGAATAAAGAATCAACGTAAAAGTTTGTGTGTAATAGAAATCCAATGCGATTAAATTGTAAGTTTCAAAAGCTAGACCGAAAATAGTTTTAGCCACTATCTAACATCTATTTTTTTAGTAATAAAAAATGAAAATTGAATGATCAAATAATTTTGAAATATGTTAAAACAACTAGAATTCAGAACATAATCACAATTCCACCTGAGGATAAATGAAATTCATTCTTCGTAGGGTCTCGAAGGCTACCATAAATCTAAAAGGAGTGACTATCAAAAGTTCACATCTTATCTTCGTATGGTCTTGAATGCTCATGCAAGAATATGACAACAATAATAAGATAAATTTCCAAACATAGAAATTTTGCTAAATAAGTAACAATAAACAATAAAATATATTAACTTGGGAAATAAATCTCAATCTTTGACTTATAATTACTATAAAAATACCTTGCAAATTCTCATATCAACATTTTACTAACTATGTTCCTTCTATTAATTGTTTTACATTCCAATACATGGAGAAAATACATAAGATTTAAAGTCATTGAGAACCAAAAGCTCATCTTTCATCAAATATTTTAAGCATGTTAGTTATGAATTCAACCATTTTTACCCGAATATGTTTTATTCATAAAAATCAGATGCAAAACCTGGCACTATTTAAATGTTAGCCAAACATGCAAATAACTCACTTTGTTCTTGAGCTTGATCTACACATGGATTATAGAAGAGCTACCATTAGCTAAAAAACGTAGTACTATAAAAACTCCATATTAGTTTTCAACCAAGTATTATTCACATTACACCCCCTATTATCAAATGCAATATCAAATTTCATTTTGTCAATTAATTAAATACCAACATTTCCCATTAATCGTCTAAAAAACACACACACACACGAAAATCAAAACTTATTTACATGATGTTTCGATACATAAACCAAAAAAAAAAAAAATCGGCGAGGTCATCCATCCATGATGTTTCAGTTATAGGAAAGAAAATGGAATGACATGGGAGAAGGGAGGATGAAAGATGTGAGAAAAATTGTTGTTTTACAAGAGGGTGAAGCTGAAAGATGTTTATTTTCTAGCTTTGAAGAGAAGAGATGGAGATCGGACTTTAGCGCGAGAGAATGAGAAGAGATCCAAAAGAGTATATGAGATTTTGAAATTGTAACGGGGATGCTTATCTAACTCAAAGAATAAGAATTGTTGATTTAACAGGATTGAATTTAAATATATGATTTAAGTTGTTGGAAGTTGTCGTAAATAATGATACAAATTCAAAGTCTAAATACCAATTTAAACAAATAGTGAGGAGATTCCGTAAATGAGTTAGACTAATTTTGGAAATATTAATTAAAAGTATGAAGGGTATAAATATAAAATCACTTTTGGAAAATCAATGTAGAAGAAGCATGTGGAGAAAAAGATTCTTTTATATATATATATATATATATATATATATATATATATATATATATATATATATATATATATATATATATATATATAGAGGTTCAGGTTCATTTGAGACCATTCTAATTTTATAAGATCGTAAGACCAAATCTAAAAATAATTTTAAAATGCAAAATAAATGGAAAAAATCCAAAAATTCTTTTTTTAAATATTATTTTCGGAACTTGAATTAACAAAAAAATAAAATAAAAAAAATAAAAAAAAAATCCTATTTTTTTTAAAAAATACGTGAAATATTCTAAATAGAATATTACACTATACATATTCTAAAAATAATTTTAAAATGCAAAATAAATGGAAAAATCAAAAAATTCTTTTTTTTAATTTTATTTTCGGAACTTGAATTAACTAAAAAAAATTTTAAAAAAATAAAAAATAAATAAAAAAATAAAAAAATGCGTCTCACGGTCTCACAAAATTAGGCCGTCTCACATGAACCTAACTCTCTCTCTCTCTCTCTCTCTATATATATATATATATATATATATATATATATATATATATATATATATATATATGCCTTCGATTGTTATTTTCTTTAGTTATATGTATGTGGACTTCTTATAAAATAATAGGTTATTCAAAAATATGTCAATAAAAATCTTAAATTTCTATGATTACAAAATAAAATAAAATTAAGGGAACAAAACCAAAGACATGTTCGTTTTCTTTGGGTTTTTGTTACTGTAACACAACAAAGTTTGAGGAATTTAAACATTTCATACCATGGTTATATGAGAAAGGATTTCAAAGAAAAATACATTTGAAGTTGAGCTCCGCTAGATGATACAGTCCATCGCGGTTTGACATCGAGGTTGACATTGTTGGATGGTTGGCTGCTCACTGTCTTCGATCGGAGAAAACGAGTTTGAACACTAACTCTTTTTTTTTTTCGTTTTTGGTCACTAAGAGATGAGAAAGAACGAATAACGAGTGTAGTGGTGTGTGATTTAATGTGATGTTTTTTGACTTTATTTTCCTACGTGGGCTTAATAATGTTAATATATAATTTAATGTACTGCCACACCATAAATATAACCGGTTGTTAGGTAATAGCTAGTGCATAATGTTTTAATTAGACGGTAATTCCTAACTTTAAGGACTAACTACACAAAAAATATACATAAGTGATTAAATTTGTAAAGTTTTCAAACTTTATTATACTACAATATCAATATCTTTTTTTAAAGACTTTGCAAACTTTAGGTGATGATCCTATGTTTTCTAGAAAAAGAGAGTATATTGGTGTTTTAATCTTCTAGAAAACAAAATTAGTCTTTTATAAAAAAATCGTCCTCCAACAAACAAAAAAGCTCGATAGAAACTCCAAAGAGAAAACAAACTCCATCTTACTTCCTTAAGGATATGTATACTGTATAGAATATTATGGACTATAGACTCACCCATAATTAAAATATTACCGTGGGTGGTGACGCCGCGAGTGATGGTCAGCTACGTGGAGTGTAGAGGACACACCCAATATATGGACTATGAATGACTAGGCACCCAACACGTATATAATTGTCAACTTATTGTTCTAATTATTTATAATGATTAAGTGGTTGGATAATAACATATAATATAATTAATATTTAACAGTAAATGAAGGTTTTCGTTTCAGTGTATGACTCCAGTAATTTTTTCAAGTAGCTCAAGATGTTTATATTTCGGTCATATTTCTAAATATGTTAAAGTTTTGTCTTGTCTCAAACAAACAGTTGACATTTTTGTATTAATGTGTCAAAATCATTAACAAATTTATATAAAGTTTTAATGAAAATTTATTGTATAATTGATAAAATATATAATGCAAGTTAATAAATTATAATCACAAAATCAATGTTATAACTGAAAAATTAGTTGACAATCGATAAAAAATAATATTAGTAAAGTTGAATAATAAAAAACTTGAAATATATAAAATAATATAAAAATATATATAGAAAAATTGAGTTTTTATAGTTAATAAATGATATTACGTTAGTCTAAATGATTTTTTAGAAACTATTTTATAATATATTTTTGGTGTGTCAAATATAATAATAAAATAAAAAATTCAAAAAATAAACTGATATGTGAAACATAGCTCAAAAAACAATATATAAAAATCCACAAGGTTCCAACTTTATTATTAAAGTCCTTTAATTTTATTTGTTTTGATATCAAATCCACTTCAATTGTATTATTATTCAATATATGCAATGTTACAAGCCACAATTATAGCAATTCCTTATTTTTATCAAAACAAAATGAATATAAAAACTTAATCGTTACAAAAGGAAATCTAGAAAATTATAGTAATATAGGTTCTATGTACTTTGTAATTATAAAATTATGACATGGTTTACTGTCATTATTTACAATTAACCTATTTTTATATTATATTTATAATGATAAAATTAGGAAACCTTTTTCCAAAAAGTCACTGTGTTACTAGCAATTAACCCTTCAGGTTAAGCTTAATTGTTTTTGATCATCTATATTTTGATTATTTTCTCTGGTTTGTTCCAATTCATGGAATCGAATTCGATCAAAAGTTAAAAAACATTTAATGTGGTGGATCCAAAAGTTTAAATTCTGTCGGCTACAAATCCACCACAAGATGATCAAACTCATCTCTGCGCAGACCAACTGCAGAAATGGCGCTTACTGCTTCAACCCGACCTCTGCTTAACGACTTCAACCTACCTTCACATTCGAAGAACCGAGACCCTCCAATTCTTCGATCTCACAGAACCCATTTTTCAAACCCTAGTTATCTGCTGAGTTTTCCGCAAATCAGCAGCTCATTTTCACAAATCAACACTCAATCCAGATGCCCGTTATTCAAAAGCATGCCGTTAGTTCCATCTAGAAAGCTTAATTCGAAGGTGTTTGAACTACAACCCACATTCTCTTCTGAATTTGATTCTCATCTCTTTAATTTGGATGACTGATTTTAGTTTTCCTTCTTTTTTGACATTAAACTAGGTTAGAGCTACAGCAGCAGGAGAAGAAGCATATCAAGAGGATTTCTCTTGGTCTTCTGTAATCTTGCCGTATGTTAGCTTCTTTTAATTATCCAATATCATATAATCATTTTAAGTTTAAGCGTTTAAACTCAACATAGGTAGGTAATTTTACAGTTATCTAATGATCATTTTTCTTCATGGAAACTCCTTACCTGTATGAATTTTTGGCAAAACTCTCTAAATCGATTGACTTGTCCCAACTTTTGTCATGGGACTTTTCACTTTTCGACTTCAAATTATGATTTCTCTCGTTTATATCTTTAAAACTATCGTTTTGGGTCATCTGGATTCTGGAACCATATATAGAAAGGGAAATCATAATCTACAAAAAGAGAACGACTTTATGGAGAAAGACAATGAAATGATGCTTTCCCATAAAATCCCGAGTCTTTACAAATCCACCCTCATTTATTTTCTCTTGCAACTTTTGGTGCTAAAATTTTCAGGTTTGTATTCCCAGCCTTGGGTGGTTTACTATTTGGATATGACATTGGTGCAACCTCTGGTGCTACCCTCTCTTTACAGGTATCAATCTCATCATCTACAATCTACATACAATTTTCTTTTTTAGTTCCTCAACAAGAAAATTCAATACAATACTCCACATATTAATTATTTCCAAATCGCCAAATATAAATTTATTACTTATCTTAATTGTTCTACAGTCAGCCGAGCTTAGTGGCACAACATGGTTCAATCTATCTGCTGTTCAACTCGGCCTTGTGGTGAGCTATACTTATCTTAATTGTTTTACTTTTATTTATTTATTAGCTATACTTTGGTTACTTAATCTATAATAAGGAATGCAGGTCTCTGGATCCCTATATGGAGCTCTTTTTGGTTCTATCCTAGTCTACCCAATTGCAGATTTCCTAGGTACTTGTCTTCTCTAGTAATAAACTATCACCCTCACAATTTGACATCAATAATGTTAATTTAGAATTGATTATGAAACATTAGCTATTGATTTATGAAGGTAGGAAGCGTGAACTTCTATTAGCAGCTTTATTATATTTGGTTGGTGGCTCAGTTACAGCATATGCACCAGGTCTTGGTGTTCTTTTACTAGGTCGAGTTCTCTATGGTTTAGGCATTGGTTTGGTAAGTGGTTAGCTTAATTAGATCCAAATCATCCTTAAAAAAATCAAACATTGTCTCTTTGTTTTGGTTTTTCAGGCTATGCATGGTGCTCCACTTTATATTGCAGAGACTTGCCCTTCTCAAATCCGTGGGACTTTAATATCTCTAAAAGAACTCTTCATAGTTCTTGGAATCTTGGTATTTAAAAGTTAAAACTCCACTCCATCACTTTTTTTTTTGTTTCACATGTAACTAAATTTGAAAGGGTGAAATTGTGTTGTACAGTTGGGATACTTTGTAGGCAGCTTTCAGATAGATGCTATTGGAGGTTGGAGATATATGTTTGGGTTTAGTGCTCCAGTTGCTCTTTTGATGGGGTTAGGTGTGTGGGGTCTACCTCAGTCCCCAAGATGGTTGCTTTTAAGAGCTGTACAAGGTAAGGCATCTTTGCAGGAGTATAAAGAGCAGGCGATTGTTGCATTAAGCAAACTTAGGGGAAGGCCTTCTGATGATAAAGTTTCTGAAAAGCAAATAGAGGACACACTTGTTTCTTTGAAATCTACTTATGGTAGTGTTGAGGAATCAGAAGGGAGTATATTTGAGGTTTTTCAAGGCACGAGCTTGAAAGCTTTTGTGATTGGTGGAGGTTTGGTCCTTTTTCAACAGGTAATAGTTCAAACTTCTATTGTTTTCCATTCATAAATTATCTATCTTTTTCTTTTCTTTTAAGTTTACAAAGTAATCTCTCTCAATGTAACAGATAACTGGGCAACCAAGTGTTCTTTACTATGCTGGTCAAATTCTTCAGGTATTTGATACAGAACTTTTCTCTATATATAAATATGTATATGCATACACACACATGTGTATATGCTTATTGTTCTGGTTGCTTATTTGTGAATTGTGGAGTAAAAGACAGCTGGATTCTCTGCTGCTGCTGATGCTACACGTGTTTCAGTCATTATCGGTGTCTTTAAGGTATGTAATACTGGCTTTTCATTACAGACAAAAAGGTAAAAGAATATCTACTTTTTTGCAAGAATGTGCTACTTCTTTTGGCTGTTTCATGTAAACAGTTGTTAATGTCCTTAGCTTATGGTTGTGCAGCTGTTGATGACAAGTATAGCGATTCTGAAGGTTGATGATCTTGGGAGAAAACCTTTGCTGATTGGAGGAATTAGTGGAATTGTATGCATCTCTATTTCTTTCCTTTTATAGACTTAGGCCCTGTTTCTTTTTTCCCACATGGGTGGATTAATAAATGATGTTTAAGAAAAAGTTAGGACTTAATGGGGAAACCTCATTAAGTGAAAAACTGAACACCCTAATCATACATTTGTGCTTACTTTTTTCTTTTACAGACCCTTTCATTGTTTCTCCTCTCTGCTTATTACAAATTCCTTGGAGGATTCCCCTTAGTTGCTGTAGGTGCTTTACTTCTTTATGTTGGATGCTACCAGGTAAGTAACCCTAATTTTTTTAATCTGCAAAATGTGCTTTATTTATGTGTGAGTTAATTTAACTTGGAATTTGGGATTTTTCAGATATCTTTTGGACCAATAAGTTGGCTTATGGTTTCAGAGATATTCCCTCTTCGAACAAGAGGGAAAGGAATTAGTCTTGCAGTTCTTACAAACTTCGGTTCAAATGCCTTAGTAACCTTTGCTTTCTCTCCATTGAAGGTTATTAATATTATCACCTACTCAAAAGTCAACATTTCCAAAGTCAATAAATCCCTCATATCATAATATCTTAATCTTTTTTGTAAATTGTACAGGAGCTACTTGGGGCAGAAAATCTTTTTCTCCTTTTTGGTGCAATTGCTTTGTTATCACTTGGATTCGTGCTACTCTATGTCCCTGAAACCAAAGGGTTGACTTTGGAGGAAATCGAAAACAAAATCTTGAAATGAGATTTTGATTGATGTAACAGTTTTCTTGTTCGTTTCTGCATGTTGTACATGACTCATGTATGTGTAAATTGTAATGCTACTGATGTGTTTTACCTTTCATAAAGCAGTGCGTTTTTTCTTGAGCATTGTACAACTTTTATTGCACAGGTTACATGTCGTGAAACTGTAAATAATAATCCAATATTTGACAAAAAACAGGAGTGACGTATACTTATATACCATTAAAAAGATTGCTATTTTAGGGAATACGGTTGCTGCATGACCTAGTCAACATCCATTGATTTGCTATAATAATATCCTGTAATTGTGGCATGAAAATCGAAAAAAATATTTGTCGTTAAATTTGGTGTTTGCGTTAACGTAGAAACAAGGAGCCATGCTTTTGTGAAAGGAGAAGCAATGGCTCAACCAGACAATGTGCGAAGAACAACGACCATCGATGCTGTGAATGCTCCAAGACCCCTAAACTCGCCAGGCTCCAAGAGTGGTGGGTAAATTCGTAATTTTGGTCATCTCTGAAATCTGAATCTTGGAAGGAATATGAGAAATTAATTTGTTTTGAATTTTGATTCGTGCGTAGGTGATTCCTCAAGTTGGTCGTCTAGCTCTTCATTAAAGCTAAGAAAGAGCCATGATAACGACGACCCTGGAAGTGGAAACCACCATAAGAAATCAGTGTTCTCAAAGGTGAAAGAGAAGGCCAGAAAATTAAAGAAAACTTTAAGCGGGAGAAAACGTCGAGATGATAATGAGTTGCGAAGCCCTAATTTCTCCACTCCTCCAGGATCCGCTGGTCCTGTCAAGGATGATAAACAACGCCCCCAATTTTTTAGTTCCCCAACGCCATGTAATTAAATCGCATATTATTCTCTATCATGTCATGTCAAAGATTACGGATTGTAACATTTGAAATGTGTATTTTCAGTGACTGGATCTTCGGTTTCAGAAGACACGAAGACAAATTCATCAAAAGAGCAGCCTCAAGAAACTAAAAAAGGGTCTTCCGAGACAAATGCACCGTCCAAGAACGAGCCGCAACCACCACCGACCGCTAACGGTTCACCGGAAACCACCGCAACTCGTGATGGTGACGATCCCAAAACTAGCTCTGAAGCGAAAGAGAACAATGAAAGCAGCGTGGAACCACAGGACAAGGACAAAGGTGTTTCGGTGACGGAATACTTGATGAACAAGCTAGAACCAGGAGAAGACGAGAGAGCTCTTTCTCAAGTGATCACACAGACAATAAGTCCCAAATGTGAAAAGATGAAAGAAGCTGTGAACTCATTGCTTAGGACTGAAGAATCACCGGTAAGTAACAACAAGGATTCAAACTCGGAATCCGATACCACAAATGTTGTTGATTCTGATTCAAATCAAGATACCGGGGCTCGTTCTTCAGTCGAATCGGTTGATAATACAAAGTTGACTTCATTGACCGGTTATGATCATGATCCCAGTGATGGCCCTGAATCGCGTCTTTCTAATGTGTCGGCGACATCAGCGTCTGCTTCCTGCCAAAACCAAAATGTGAAACAATCGTCGTAGGCAAAAAAGGGTTGAATGAATGTATAGGAGTCTTGCGGCATCCAGAATTGAGGTCTTTATAGTAGCTTTCTTCTTCGTTTCGTTGTACTTCATCGGTTCTCGTTTGTTATCGTTGAATTAGAACTTATTTTTGTATATTTTGCTATACATGTAAATGAAAGCTATTGCAACTAATCAGATGTTATCTCTTTGTATGCGATTGCTTGTCATTGTTAAATATGTGGAGTTTTTGGTTGTTTCTTCAAAAGAGCTAAGATGAGTATCCAACGTATATTCAGGTGCGTGAGACTTTGTCTGCTTAACGTGAGACTCTATTAGTACCGTTGATGCATTTATGTGGATCCATGCGGGATATCTTATTTTAAACGCTACGGAAACGATACCGTTTGACCTCAAAACTCAAGGATTCTAAAAGATGAAATGATAATATTGGATCAACGATCATTTGGTTATGTTGTGATGGTATTGTGTTCTTACAACTATATATTTCGTACACATATAGACATTTAGGTGCTGTTTGATTTTCTGAAGCAAAAATTCATGAAGTCTGCGGACCACCTCTGCAACCCTCTGCAGTAGAAGAGGTGGACCAAACGGCTGCAGACTATAATAAGAAGCGTGTTTGTTTTTTAACATCTGCATACTGCTGCAGATATTAAAAAATTAAAATAAACTAATTTTATAAACCGAAAATAACTTTTTAATACGTAAAATTTAATAATGTATAACATTTCGGTAAAAATTAATAATATTTCAGTAAAAAAGAATGATATTTCAATAAAAAAAATAAAGATATTTTAGTAAAAAATAATGATATTTCATAAGAAATTATCATTATTGAATATAAAAAAATGAAAAATAAATTGAATAAGAATAAACGAAAAAAAACGAAAAAAAAATGTGAAATAAAATTTTAATAACATATAATCAAAATTTCAGCAATAAAAAAGAAGAAGAAGATGTTGGAAGAGGTTAGAAAAGGCAGTACAAGTGTTGCGCCAAACAGAGTCTGCGCAGAGGTTTTTGACTCAGAAAACTTCTAAAAAAACAAACAGCTGCGATATGAAAAGTGTTGCACGTGTGCTGCGCCGCGCAGCAGTAAGAGGTTTGAAGAGGTTTTTTTTCAAAAAACAAACAGCACCTTAGCTTTTGCAACAATCTTCACTCTCTTTTGATATTTTATTCAACACATGGCAAGTTTCACATTGAAGATTTATGAAGTAGGAATGACAACATTACCGTTTTATGGTATTTTGTCCTCAAAAGATGGAATGAGTTGTTAGAAGACGAGACATAACAAGAAATAAGCTCATTAGCGACACTACCTTAGCGACGACATCAAACAAACGCGCTTTTTGTCGCCGCTAAAGGTTTCCGTTGTCGCTAAAGGCTTTCCACCAGCGATCCTATCATCCCACACGAAACTTGATCCTTACCGTACGCCTTTAAACTGATCCATCGGTTAGGGTTTAATCTTGTAGGAGGTAATAGAGGCGACACCAATTGCGACGACCTGTCGCCGCCGTTAATGATAATGATCAGCGTGAACGAAATCCTGGCCGTACATTTATTTTTGGATCAGACGTCTAATAAAACACACCAAAAGGCGCGTAAGTTTCCTACCCGGATGTCGCTGCTAAAGGGTAAGCACCTTTTGATCCTTGTTCATCCCAGACGACCCATTTCCTGCACAACTTTCCTCCTCTCACAAAATTCCAACAGCAACGCTTACCACCGTTTTGGGGTTCGATTTTTAGGCGTAATACACCCATATAAACCACCACTAACCAGCGATTGCTTCTAGGTAGCATCGAAAGGGTTCTGAATGAATTTGGGAACCCGAGACCTAGATGCGGGAGCATTAACACGACTTGTTCGCAGCAACAAACTTCGAGGACGAAGTCTAATTCAAGTGTGGGAGGGGGGGGGGGGGGGAATTGTAACATCCGGATGATGAGGTATTTTCAATTTTAACCATATTATGAAGAAATATTGCATTTTAGCCCTTGTGCAAGAGAAAGTTTGCAAATTTAACCATAGTGGCATTTTTGTAATAAATGGGGCGGACTCACGTACGCAGGGCGTACTCCTAGAGTACGTGTGGCATACGTGGGTGAGCCACAAACCCTAATTTTTTAGGGTATGGATCATATTTAAACATCCTTAAGTCCCCCCCCCCCAACTCACCTCCTTTCATCAGTCTCCAACTTACCTTCGTCCTTAAACAAACCATAATCCATTTTTAAACCATATTGAGCTTTGAGTGTGTGTTTTGGTCACCTTAAAGGATAGAGGAATAAGAGAAGATCATCTTGGAGGACTAAGACTCTTTGGATCTAGAATCTCATCATCATTTGTCATCACCTTAAGGTAAAAAACTTTGAACTTGATGAAAGATAAGCATAGATCTAAGTTAGCCTTGAATTTATGTCCTTTTTGTCCCAATAGTTTGGTATTTTGAGTATGAGCTACTTCAATCCATTCAATCCATCCTTTCAGATGTTTGGAGGTGCTTAAAGGCATAAAAATGTGGACTTGATCACTTATTCTCTTCCATGCATGTGCTACAAGGTCTTAATGGGTTAAGTAGATAAGGTTTTTAGTATTAAGCACCTTTTGGCCATGCAAGACCATAAAGTTGGAAACTTTATGGTCAAGGACGTTATTTGGGGATTTGGACTGGACGTATTAAGCTCTTAATGAGAAAAGAGTTGACCAAGTGTGTACGTTGGGTGTACCAAGTGCTACGTTGTGCATACGCAATCAGAGCCCCGTTGCTTGGTCAACCAGCGAGTACGCCTCGTGTATAGAGGAGTACGTCCAGCGTACTCAGCTGGGTTGACTTGGTTGGGTGTTGACTTGACCTTTGACAAAGTTTGACCAAGGGTATTTTAGGAAATTATTATTAATCTTGAATGGGAAATGTTTTGATTATTAGGAGTCGATTAGAGCCAATTATCGGAGCAGAGATTCATTCAGACAGTATTCGGACTGAGAGGTGAGTTTTCCTCACTGTACTTATGGGTCGAAGATACCAAGGTTCGACCCATTGGGTTTGGTATCCTGGTTTGTTGTATGTTGTTATGCTGTAGTGATCTGTTAGATCTGTATCCTGGTATAAAGGATGTTGCTATGCTATAGTGATCTGTTAGATCTATATCCTGGTATATAGGATGTTGCTATGTTGTAGTGATCTGTTAGATCTGTATGACTATCTGTATCTGCTAACTATCGATTTTATGGTGTATGTTGATATGTTATGGTTTACTGGGTTGAAGTAGACCAACTGAGACTGAAGACCAAGACACCTAGGGTGGTCCGGATAGACTGAAGGCTTATGAGGCAAACCAGTCAGGCCAATGCCCAGAGAGCGGTCCAGATAGGCTGAAATCCGGGTGAGGCGGTCCAGTCATATCGAAGGCTCTGTATGCATGTTGTTGCTTGTTATGTTT